AGCAGAGTCAACAAACTCTTAAATGAACAAAAGCGATCCGTCTCCTAGATTGTTTTAAAAATGCTAACAGCACCTTTAACAAACAGAAAAGATTTTTTTCAGAAGCAAACAGTCGTATTTCGAGTTTCATCTTCGCCAGCTTTAACTTTTTTTTTTTTTCGGTTTAACAACAGTCAGCTAAGGACAGATAACTGCTTCAAGTACAGCGGATGGACAGGTGAGCCTCCGTTGTAACCAGAGGCTGACACACACTGTATCCTGACACAACACTGGTGGAACAGACAGACAAGGACAGCACTGAGGATCCACAACAGGAAGGACAGATGCAAAGGACTGACAAACAAATAAAAATAGTGATATTAATAATAACAGTGAGTGTATATACAAGGATTAAATGTCTGACCTTTCCACATTTCTCGGAATAATGACAAAGATGAAGCAGGTAAGTGAATAATTAATCTGGGAGATTATGACAGACCTCATCAGAGGTCATGCATCAGCCCTTCATCACAGGGACCTGAAATCTAGTTGACTTGTGCAAAATACAGTTCAGTCGTGCTGGCTCAGTCCTTGAGGACATCAGATAGCATGTACCCATCCCTCCAGCCTTGAGGCGCAGGATCAGTGGAAAAACCAGCATGTCCTTCCTGAGCACCTCAGCTCCTTCTCATCTTCCTGGAGGTGAAGGCCTTGGACATCGCTGAGGATTACTGAAAGCAACATAGAGATTTTAATTTTCTCTTCTTCTAAAACTCTGCATGATGTCAGTTCAAGGAAAAAAGCTGCTAAACTCAATATCATGAAATGTGAGTACCTAACATACGAGTACACATTGTGTATCCACTGGAATAAGAGAGTACCACAAGGCTCCACTTTGGAATTTGACATTAATAAAAGACACCAAAAGAAAAATGATTTCTCCTGTAGGTGCCCAGTAGGCATTCTAAACCGGTCAAAATTACACAAAGACCAGAGCTTTAAGAAGACTTAATGTTGAGAGTAGCAAAGGTAAAGTGTGGCTCAGGAGTTACTCCAGGGAGCCCAGCTGAAATGAAACCCTGAAAAGCAGTAAGACTGTATTTAAATCTGTTCTGTCTGGGTCCAGTCTAGTGGGACCCATTGTAATACTGTAGAAGATAAAGAACCCTGAATTAACAGCAGTGCTTTGCCTGCAATGTCTGAATCAGAGTATTGGGGGTAAATAAACCTTTTAGATAAATGGATACTAGAGAGGTAGAGAGGAGTGGTGTTTAGTTCTACTGCCTCACAGCTCTCAGGTCCTGGTTTGATTCTGGATTGGAGCACCTCCACCAGGTGATTCCGAAGACAGGCCGGCTGGCTTCACTGTGTCCGAACCATGTCTGTGTGCGCTGGTGTCCAGAGGCAGACAGGCACCCTGCTCCTCTTCATGGCCCCTGTGCCCTGGGTCAGGACTCTAGGCCGCTGGGACCCTTACTAGGAATAAGCGACTTTCTGATGTGGATGCACCATAATCCCATCAAGCTTTGTGATGTGGATGTATCGGAATGGAAGCATATTCATTTTTATTTGCTGGTGGAAATAAAAAAAATCACAGACCTCATTTTTTGTGATTTTTAAAAACAATTTAGCTTGTATTTTTTTAGTAGGACAACTGTTCTTTTCCAAGTTTATGCTTTCTAGTTCCAAAAAAAAACACAATAAAAGCAGCTTTTATGCACAGTCGCATTATTGCATCTTAAGCACAATTGTAATATTAGTAGAATACAAAGGACGAAAAACCCGAATCAAAATCCTACATTTAGTTACTTCCTGAATGTACAACACATGTACAAAATGGTTCATTTTATTATGAGATATACTTTATCTTTATTTATTCCAAGGGATGGGTTTTTTCTTACAAGGTCCCTAAATAAAAATAGACAAGCATTGTTCAGGAATCAAGAACACTATCGAGTCAAAGTGCTTTTTAATAATCCACTCCAGGATTAGTGCTACGTTCAGAGCAACCAGCAAAGACTAGTGAGTGGGCTGAGCTCTACTGCCATGGCATCGCACTGCTGCGCTATAAAAGCCCGCTGTGATCGGTGTAGACCAATACTTCACCGAAACCTGCTGAGCCGAAACTGAAGAGTCAAGTCAGGTAGGTCAGAACTTTTATTAAAGTCCATCGCAGTGCAACCCAGAGGAACATCCAGCTGAGCTGCATGATGGACAGCTCTTTGTACTTGTATATTTTTAGGGTTAATATTCCAGGTGTAATTACCTGTAATTAAGACATTTGCAAGAACATTTGTAAGAACAGCACTCAGCTGTATTAATGAGTCATCAGGTGGTCAAAGGATTAGAATAAAACTAAAAGTGTCTAAACAAGGTAGCTCTTTGTACTTTATTAAACAGAAAACCAAGCCCTGTTGAGAGCTACTGCAGTAACGGTCTGGGGCATATTTTAATCCCCTCTCACTATATGTTGTCAGAATCATTTTATAAGTTTTGTTAATTTGCCTTGACAACAATATCAAAGTTGTCAGATATTCATTTTGGATCACTTGCATAAGGAATATGATGCCTCAATACATTGTGGTTGTTTAACTGCCAATTGCCATCTGATTATAACAGTATGCACTATTAATAAGTGAAATGAAAGCAACGATTTAAAAAATATATCCCATTAGGCATTCTGAGCAATGTCCCATCTGAACTTCAGTAATGCTGATGCTTGTAACAGTTTTAACACAAGTACCTCAGGATTAGTCTGCAATTGCTAACATAACACTCATTTACATTGTGACGCTAAACATAATAGGGAGCACCGAGCCTGAAAGAAGATGTGCAGTCACCCCTCAGAACAGTTCTGAATTCTCCTGCAGCAGGGTGTGCACTGAAACATACAGGTCATTTAAAAAATAATAGAGTAAAATGTGCAATTTATGATTACAGGACTTTAATATATGTAGAGGTAATAAAGTTTAATTATTTTACAAAGTTTGGTGACCAGGTAAATCCATGCAACCTGTATTTATTATTCTAAGGGAAGACCAGATTCCTTGAATAAAAATGGTGTTGGGCTTAGAAATTCTGATTTAAGGACTGCTGAAACATCCAATCTTTCGGAGAAGCGAAATGACAATCTTATGGAAATATTCAATGATTGTGTTTTAAAATGACCACAGTTCAGGAGGAAAGAAAGTTCCACTCGTATGAAACCGCAAGAAACGAACGAACCCTCTGCTGCTCCCAGAAGGATGAGGGCTTTCCCAGCATGCATCGCGCTCCTGGGGCTGGGCCTGTGTGGCCTGCCGAGCCCAGCCGCCACCTCCCCCCTCCGCTCCTGCGAGCCCGTGAACGAGACCGTCTCCGTGGAGAAAGACGGCTGCCCGCAGTGCCTGGTGTTTCGGACCTCCATCTGCAGCGGCCACTGCCTCACCAAGGTAGCGTCTCGCCTTCCTGAGTGCCGCAGGCGCGTTCGCCTGACGTGACCCCAGTCCCTACTGGACTCCATCTCGGGAAGCTCCCGCATGACAGTTCCTGACTGACCAATTCTTGTAGCTATTCTAAATTCCAAGAGAGATGCTTGATATACGATAAGAGAAGATCACTTTATCGGCCATATACAATTTCTTGTATTAGGAATTTGTCTTTTCCCATACCCCATCTTGCTCTCCTTGAGAGACACAGACAGGGAGAGAAGCTGGGGGTCAGAGCACAGGGTCAGACATTTATACGGCGCCTCTGGAGCAGTTGGGGTGAAGGGCCTTGCTCAGGGGCCCAACGGAGTAGGATTCCTCTGCCGGCAGCAGGATTCGAACCGGCAACCTTCCAGCCACAGGCGCCACAGTGCCACCACTCCGCCCCATACATTTTATATATATGAAATGTATTGCTAATAACTGTTCAAGCAACTGAACATTCATTAACAAGGACTAATTAAGCACATCAAGATTTTAATTAAGGCTCCAGTATCCGGGTGTTCTTCCCCCTAGACTGGATTTTCCAACCAATGCCACCAGTGTGATGATCATAGATGTGTTTTGGATTAGGGCAAACCAACGTCCTGATTACTCGGTCATTGCAGATCCCAAGGCATGGTTCTGGTTACATTTCTCTAGAATATAGTACAACACAATGCCTCACTCCTCCCCCTGATCTGCTGTTCAGACCTCACCTGGTGTCACCCAGGTGGGGCTGCACTACAGCGGGGGATGAAATGGGTTCCCTCTTACATGTGAAGCACTCTGGGATACAAAACACAATTGCATGGAATTTATTAGCAATCTTGTTATTATTAATTGACAGAAGGCTCATACATGACAAAAACCGACAGAAAGGGGGGTTCTCAGGCACGAGGGGTGACAGACTGATCTGCACAAACGATGTGAGGAAGTACGCTGTCACAGCGCAGGCAGCTGAACGAGTCTGTCATCCGGAACAATTTGAATAGATTCTTGAGTGAAAACAGCACTGTGACAGTAAATGGAACATGAGAGATTGTCTATTATTCATTTTGATGATGCTTGCATCGTCAAACACAGGAAACTTAAGCTTGTTTTTAACATGTTGAAAAGTAAACTTTACAATAAAATAATAATAATTTTATTAATGAGCGCTTTTCAAAACACCCGCCACACATAGTACACATAGCAAAAGTAAAAGAGAAAAAGGTACAGCAAATTGACCCAGTGAAATCAACATGAAAAGTAAATTATACGAACCTCAAAGCCTACAGTAAAAAGATGTACAAGGAAATTTCCTTATTTATACTTATAACATGGAGCTTCACAAGAGAAGGCTCTACCACCCACTGTGTGGAGCCTGCTTTGCACCCATGTTAGAAGACAGGACACCGGTGTCTTATGCACGAGCAGGAGAGCTTCAAAGTCAATTCTGAATTTTACAGGCAGCCAGTGCAATTTACAGAGGATGGGAGTAATCTGCTGATGCAGAGTACTTCCAGTTAGCATGAGCTTCGGTATTCTGGAAATACTGAAGCCCGTTTCATACCTGTGAGGATACCTCAGTTAGTAAGGCATTGCAGCAGTTAAATCGTGACAAAATAAGAGACTTTATCAATATTTCAACATCAGAACAATGTTGTGCAGGTGGAAAAAATACAACCTTGTGATCTTCAAATGACACAAGGTCAGAAGTAAAACCAAGGCTTCTTCCATCAAGGTCTGATTTCAATACCTTTGACAACAACAGCAAACTCAGCAGCTTTTCAAAGGCAGGGTAAGAGCAGAAGCTCGGTCTTGTCTTAGGGAAGTGTAAGAAGGTTCAGTCTGCATGCAAGAAGCTAACTGTGAGTGAGGTCTCATTGTAGCTATGAATTCAGTCACATAAGCAGCATGAACAGCAGTAGAAATTCATACCTGGCAGAACAAAAGGCAACATCCATGTCATGACTGCAGGCGAGGTCAGCATTCATTGGAAGAATTGTGTCATTGCAATTCTGAGATGCTCGGGGTAAAGCTTAAATCTAAAGGCCACACATATGCAGTGTTATCAAAGCGTGGTTCCAAAACTGCATCTCTAACTCAAACTTGGCATGGGATCTGAATACGGAATTTTCGAAAACCTCAATATTATGACCCTTTCTAACTACAGGAGACCTGGCTGTTGTCTGCAACCAGTGTGAAACTTGTTTTTCCACCAGAAAAAAAAATCAACATCACAACCACACGGCGGGTTTATAAAGGCCTGTCCCGATTCGCGTGGGTACACTCATGATCCTCACCTGCCTGCCTTCCAGGAGCCCGTCTACAAGAGCCCCCTGGCCATGATCTACCAGCACGTCTGCACGTACCGGGACGTCAAGTACGAGACCATCCGGCTGCCGGGCTGCGCCCCTGGCGTGGACCCCCACGTGACCTACCCGGTGGCCCTGAGCTGCGACTGCAGCCTGTGCACGATGGACACGTCCGACTGCACCATCGAGAGCCTGAGCCCCGACTTCTGCATGAGCCAGCGAGCGAGCCTCCCCGCCTACTGAGGCAGACGGACGCCAACGCCCACAGGTGGGATCCCCGCACAGCCCGGCCTCCTCTCCTGTATCCTTCCCCGGCGATCTCCTTGACAACACAAACACGCAGTCACAGATCGGATCGATTCACCACCAGCATCCATTCGAGTTAGATGGGCCAAACAGCCTCTTGTCACTTGTAACCTTTCCTTCTGTCTTACTGATGTCAGCAGACCCTCTGCCTTGCTAATCAATGTGAATAAAAACAGTTTCAAAACGTTTCTAGACTTGCATTTCAGTCTCGTGTCTTTCCAGTGGTTCTTTGTGTCGTTTCACGAGTCACTACATGTCCAGTGTATCAATTAAAACATCACCCATTTGATTCATTCAGCTTTGTAAATCAACAAAGACATTGTTTTAAAATGCCACCCGAGTTCTGCTGCTTGGCTGGGACACTTCCAGCCCCGCTAACAAGATGCGTTCGAACGGCCTGGACCGAAGGAGCCTTCCCCGTTATTTCACAGGCCTCCCAAGCGGGGCTGATGAGGACAGGACTTCCAGCGGGTGTCCAGCTCAGAACATCGAGGAGAAAACAACCGACAAGCGAGGGAGACCCGTGACTCGTGTCTCTCGGTGGGGGGGCTCAGCTCGCAGCCTGCCCCGCGGCGTGCTGGCCCTTGAAGTGTCTCCTCAGGTCCCCCAGGATGTTGAAGGTCCGCCCGCACTCCTTGCAGATGTAGGGCCTCTCCCCGGAGTGGGCGGCCCGCTGGTGCTGCCTCAGGCCCCCGTTCTGGGTGAAGCTCTTGGGGCAGTGGGGGCAGCGGTAGGGCCTCTCGCCGCTGTGCACCCGCAGGTGCTTCTTCAGGTCGCTCAGCAGGCGGAAGCGCTTGGGGCACTCGCCGCAGGGGTGCGGCCGCTGGTCGGAGTGGATGAGCTCGTGCTGCCGCAGGTGGCCCAGCTGGGAGAAGCTCTTGCCGCAGTGGGCGCACTCGAAGGGCGTCTCGCCTGTGTGCGTGCGCCGGTGCTGCTTCAGCGTCTCCAGCCAGCAGAAGCTCTTCCCGCACTCGCCGCAGGCGTAGGGCTTCTCGCCCGTGTGCACGCGCCGGTGCTTCTTCAGGTCGCTCAGCTGCCGGAAGGTCTTGCCGCAGTCCGGGCAGCCGTGGGGCTTCGCCTCGGGGCTGTGGGCGTTCTTCTGGTGCCGCCTCAGGTTGGTGGGGTGCGGGAAGACGGCGGCGCACTCCCCGCAAGGGTACTCCCTGCCGCCGTGCCGGGCCTCCAGGTGCTCCTTCAGCTGGCCGCGCTGGTCGAAGGCCTCCCCGCAGGCCTCGCACGCGTAGCGCTTCTCCTCGTGCACCTTCTGGTGCTTCTGCAGGGTGCCCAGCTGGCTGAAGGTCTTGGGGCAGCGGGCGCAGGAGTAGGGCTTCTCCCCCGTGTGCCTGCGGCGGTGCGCGGTGAGGTCTCCGGAGCGGGCGAAGGCCCGGCCGCAGACGGGGCAGCAGTAGGGCTTCTCCCCGGTGTGGGTGCGCCTGTGGACGGCCAGCGCCCCCGACCGCAGGTACTCCTTGCCGCAGTCCTGGCAGGGGTGCGTCCGGCGCGCGGCCCGCGGCTCAGCCTCTGACCCCCGGCCCTCCCCGCCGGGCTCGGGGGCGTCCCCCCTCTCTTCCTCCTTGACGAGGACGAGCCTCAGGTCCGAGACGTTCTCCGCGGCGTCCGAGGACTCGGCCCCAGAATCCGAGTCGTCGCCCGGCTCCCCCTCGGACACGGACACACCGAGCTCGGCCTCAGCCGGGCCGCTTGACCCCGAATCTGCCCGCGGCGTCTCGGCCCGCCCCCTGGCGCCCGTGATCGGCAGGCGGTCAGGAGCCGCGGCCGGCTCAGGGTGCCACCGATCCGTCACGGTGCCGTTCCACCCCAGTTCCTCCGGCTCCGGCGCCTCCTGTTTCACAGACACGGGCGTGCCGTTCGGCTGCTGGCCCGGTTCTTTACAGCCAGCAGGCCCAATACTATCCAAACGCCCAGCCTCCTCCTTACTCCTCTGCTCTCCTACAAAGAAAAACAAGCCATTCGCACTACAAGAACCACCACAGGCACACAGACTGCTTATAAGAATAGATCATTCTCATCATCTCCAGGAAACTGCCCCAGTCACCACGAAGCGTGAATCACAGGAGAGAAAACACCTGCACACGCTGCAAGAGACAGAACCACAAACAAGGCGCAGAGCCTGATCACATCTAGGCACACCTCTGCTGCCTCACAACACATACTGAGGTTTAGCTAAAAATCACAGGCAGGTCCGTGAAAGGGCAGAAGCACGCCATGGCGATCAAGACTTACACACCCTGCACCTCGCATTAGCTCAAGAGAGCCGCCGTTCAAACTCACGACTCCCGGCTCCCGGCTCTGGCTAGCCGGAGGGTTACAGGTGTAACCGAAGGCTGTGGTGCCAAAACAGCGAATGGGCATGCGGTTAAAACCGCCCATTGCGATACAGTCCCTGTGAGCTTCTGCTGTGGCGACCTATCTCTGATCTGTAGGATCTGGCGTGCCCAGGGAATATCGTTTCTAGGTGCCATCTTCCACAGGATGGCACTTCGCACACGATTGAAGCGCTTGGACTGGCAGGGGGATTACGGGTAATACTCTCTAATGCTCCGACTGTTTCACACTCAAAACAACCTGGATTAAAACAATAGCTGCCAGTACTCGGCGAGGCAGCGGTGATTCACCTCAATCAAAACTGTGCGAAAGCGCTGTTGCTTTAGGTCCTGTGTCTGTCCGTCGGCACATCTGCTACCATGCAGTAATCGAACAGACTTTGGAGCACAAATGAAAAGTATTCAGTATATTTGCGAGTCAAACGTAAAACCTGAATAGGTCCAATCCACTGTGTCTATTTTAAGAAAACGAGTTACTGATTTCGGACAAAAGCGCATTATGTGTGTATTTTTGTGGGGGGCATTACAAAATCGTAATCCTAACATTTCTGATTTATGGCTCAAAAAAAGTGTGCAATTCATGACAACAGAACACAACACCGATGCATTCTTCACCCTTTGCCGAACCGAACCTAAACGGTACAAACAGGGTCGACGGCACTACGTTCGGTTCGGGTAAAACCATCTCTTTTTTTTCCCCCCCAATTAGCGCCGCGACATGAATGATCTGGTTTTAATATCATTTACTCACCCTCTTTTAATCCGTTCATGTTCCGCCGGCCTCAGGAAACAGCAACAAAGATGCGGGCGACTTCAGACACGGCCCGCCCCTCCGGATTTCCATTGGCTGGGCCGGCCAGGCCGGGACGCTCTTGTACTTCCTCCGCCCGGGGGAAGCGCACGGAGGTCCGGGATCGGTCCGCGACACTGACCCCTGCAGAGGTGCGCTGTGGCCCCGCTCGCTTGGCTTTTCCCGGCCCAGGCTGCCGCCGCTCCCTTGTAGGCACCCGGCCGCCGAGTAACCGACGCATCACAACAGATTACGGCTTTGACTGACGGCGCTCTGCGCTTTTTCGCTTTTGACCTGTTCGCCTTTCTCTTTTCAACAAGTTTCTAATGTCCAAGGTTACAAAGTACAAGGTTACGTAAATCTAAAAACAAAAATACAAAATGTGTACACACCCTTTTCAGGCGATTTTACCTTCAGTCTGTTTTTTGCTCATTCCCAAGAAAAAAACCCCGATTAATCTCTCCCCCCTCCCCCCAAAAAGAAGAAAATTCCATCTTTTGAGAATTAAAAAAAAATCAGACAACTGGTGTAATGTTTAAACATAATGTTTATTGAAAGAAATAGAAAAGTCCCATCAAAGGCTATAGCAGAAAGGCTTGAAGCTGTCACTTTATAATGAAACACGGAACAGACCTGATTTGAACACAATGGAAGGAGGTGATTAAGTGAGGTAAAAGCAGTTGGAAATGATGGCTTCTCCGTCCGTCTTCTCTTCAGGGCAAAAAGGTGACGCGACATATTAATGGTTTTCATTGAGTATGATACTTTCATAACATAGTGACAGCATTTGCCCAGACATAATAAGTATGATTAGAGATAAAGATGGACGCTACTGATTCTCTCTGTATTTCTACGGGTCCTCTCTGCTTGGAGGGCTGACTTAACAGCCGGCGAAATAGACAGCCGGGTCCTTAGTAAGGCAGTCAATTTCGCTGAACATCGACTCCATCCTGGAAGAGAAAAACCGTGTACAGGTGTGTTTATTAGTTTAAAACAAAATGCCTGTAATGATAGTAGTCACTATAATGCTTCCACACAAAGAAGGGAAATGATTAAATGAGACAAGCAGAACAATGCAAAATGCCACCAACATGTGCACAACACTGGATGTGAGATTATAAGGGAAAGCCACGCTGTTTTCTCAGTGGGCCAGATCCTTCCAGATGGGTCTAATGAAGTGTTATGAGCAGTGCCGGATTTCCCATTAGGCACTGCTGGCACAGTGCCTAGGGCCTACAATATTTTTAGGGCCAATGAAGGAGGGAAACATTAGTGACTGACAAAAAACGAGCTGAAACAACATGCTTGTGATCGACTCTAGGAGCTCCAAATCAATATTCATACGCTCTCTAGTGGCTGTTCTAGAAACTAGAAGTATCAAAGTGATGGTCGCTCGACTCCCCTCCATCAATCACGTGGTTCAGCATTAGAATAGTTTAAAGTGCATCATGTCAATCGACGTCATTCAATTGGCCTTTACCCCTCGTTTTGCACATTTCAGAGTGAAAGTGTCTAGGGCCTACGAACACCAAAATCCGGCCCTGGAGGACAAATCAGTACACTGTTACTGTTACTGTTAAAATTCAGGAGAGTTCACTCTTGACAAGACTGTTTTCTAAAGTTTCCTGCTATTGTTGCATGTTCACTTACATTGTCTGCATAGTCTTCATGGCCTCGGGAGTATTAGGTAGTTTCCTAAATAAAATTTAAAAAAAAACAATTTACCGTGGTGATCTTGTTTGCAAATATACATGCAGTAACCTCTTATCATTCACAGCATGCAATATTAACACCAGTCTGTGCTAGCTTGCCTGCTTCACTCAATCTTGACCTTTGACCCCTTCTGATACTTACTGCTTCATCAGCGTAATGAGCGTCTTCGTGCAAGTGATGTCGTCGGTGATGTCATCATCAATCAGCTCTGAAAACAGAATAAGTATTGCTGTAGCATTAAACGGGCGCGACATGAAGGGTAAACAAGTGGTGTCAGATACTTGCAAAGAACCTTCCACACTCTTGTCCTGAAACTGGAAGCTTGATGATATCCAAGTTCAAGTTTAAAGGCTGTAATTGAGCATCATAAATTCGGGCTTAAGTGTCTGTAAGATCTTGGTTTATTTCTAATGAAACCTTTTCTCTTTTATTTTTCTTTGTATCATAGATGGAAGCTTCAGGGATAGATTTTCTCATTTACTGATTATGTGGACTTTATCTGAAGTCTCGTGAACTAAGTTCTGTTTGACACAGTGGACTGTGCACTGTGGACACACAATATGTACAAAGTGGACTCTTGTACATATTGTGTGGTGAGGAAGATAACTCTCCAGGACTGGAGGATATGGACAATCTTTATTCATTGCAGCTGTTGCAGAGCAGCATGATGGACTTTCATCTGAAAAACTGTTTTTATATATCTTGTATATAACACCATAATAATCTCAAAATCGTTATAGTCATAACAGTTGTAATCTCAAACCTGCACTTTCTGCGTAGCCTAGTAGTGATACGAAACACTGATGACATCACATCTGTGAAACGTTGTTTGTGTTTCTTTTATTAACAATATATCCTTGGAATTCCGACACACCCTGTAGACTGCAGGCAGCCACAAACTGTTAAAGAAAACAGTACGTTTTTAGAAAGGCAAGAATGGAAAGTCATCCAGTTGCTGGATGAGGGGGGGCTGTGAGAATGAAGTGAGCTCAGCCAGGGAAACTGACAGAGAGAGAAAAAGAGAGAAATGTTTTCTTCCTCCTCTGCTACTCTGCCTTGAGTTCAGCTGAAATAAGGGCCTAATGATGGTTTTACCTCTGTAGCCTGGACTCGGACTCTCTTCCCAGTCTGCCGAAGAGGGGAACCGCCTCCCACCTGCCTTCACCCCGCTTAGGCATCACTGGGAGATTTAACTGCCCAGCAGCAGCTGCCACACCTGGAACTTGCAATGCATTGCAGCCTCCACAGCAGGAGCAGAGCTGCAGCACGTGTCAGGTCACCCTGAAAGGCACAGGTGGGGGACCGAAGTGCTACTTACTGTTGCAGTCCATGCTGCACACGTTGTGCGAGGGAGTGATTCCGTCGCTGCAGGCAAAGCGGTTGCTGAGCTGGAAGATCCCGAACAGGTCCCCTAAATTGATGGAGTTTCCGGGGGGTGGATTGGGGGGCCCGTTAGGGCTGCCGGGTCGGGGTCCGGCCGGCAGCCCGCCTGGCGCTGACTGGTTCTGCCTGCTGCCGTCCCCTAGTCCTCCGCCCAGGCCCACCAGCTTCAGCACCTCGGGAGGCAGGGTCAGGGTCTTGGAGGGGTTGACACGGGTGGTGTCGAAGCCGGTGGTCTTCTCCACCTTGCAGATAGCTGTGAAGTGAAGGAATCGGGAGGCAGAGAGTTCTGCATCAGAGCCTTCAGCTTCAGACACATGGCTGGGCCTGACTGCTGCTTCAGTGCCAGTGCTTGGTAAATGGTTTGAAAGTTTGCAATAGTGAATCAGCTGTTTTGAGTTGACTTTCTTCTGAATTTTATAGAAATGTATCTTTTCTTTTATCTTCATTTTCACTGTGCCATCCTATGGTTTTAATGTAGCTTCATAATGTTTTTAAAGATACCAAGAGTTGTCCAAGTAGATATTTATTAAAGCAGTACATTCAGCTCTTGAACATGTTTTTTTTTTACTGAATCTTCTCTTTTAAAAATAATTGCAACAGTATTTGATTATTCTGAGGCTCTGCAATCACACTTTAATCTGGACTCCTAAGTAAAGCAAAGTTCATTTGTGGAAGTTTTCTGGCTACACTAACTTATCAACCTTTCTCTTGTAGAACCACTTATATTCAGTTTTCAGTTCATGCATTGGGATCATTGCATGCTGAATTGGTTTGCTTCTGTTTTAAATAGCTTGGGAGCCCCCAGTGTAGGTTAAGAGACAAACAAACCCTACCTTTTGCCATGATCTCCTCGATGTTGGGCATGGTCTTGGGCATTTCAGGCTTCATCCTCTGCAGGAGTTCACACTTGGTGAAAACCTTGGCGTCGGTGGTGGGTGACATGAGTGTCACAGCAGCTAGGAGGGCCAGTGCCACTGCGCCAGAGAGAGACTTCATCTTGCAGCCTTGTTGTCTTCCTGTGGATTGATACAGCGCTGTCACTTGTGACCCTTAATATACTCTCAGACCCCCTGGCATGCACCTCCCCATAGAGCCAGCCCACAAGATCAAGTTCCTTTGGGCATCTTTCAATGGGAGGGATAACAGTTGAAGGGTATAATTTAGTGTATTTGAGCAGGTGAAAAGGTAAATACCTGTAATTACACCAGATCTCTTTCCAGTGTATTGTAAGCCCCTCGGAACATGGCATTGCCTAACAGTTCATGCAAGTCTATAATATCGGGAATGAGCATAAAGTACTGGACTGACGTCACCTTCTGGAAATCTGAGATCAGCGCAAGAGAACAGCTATTCTTATCCAGGAGTTTGAGGCCAAAACAAGCAGTTTTGTGTGCGATCTTGCACAGTGTTCATGGTCATCCAAGCTGGGTTTCGTAACGGTTGCAGAAGTGATGTTATTTAGGAATTTTTGCATGACAAGGAGTGTGCAAAAGGTAATGTGAAGAAATGTACATTTCTGTTCATGGCAAAGGTGAAGTGCACAGTGTTATTATGAAATCTGATGATCTTAATTCCCAATTGTCATCAGTGTTCTGAGGGTTTAACAATAGGAAACTAAACCTATTTATTTCACCAATAGATCTTTCTGAAGACAAAGCAAACGATAAAGACATATAGGAGAAAGGTCTGAACTATTGGTTCCTCTCTCACGGAAGGTTCTGAAAACCTTTTTTCAGACCTCTTCCATTTGAAATAATGATCAGGTCTGTTCAAGGTGAAGTTAAGTGAGGCTGTAAAATGTGGCTCACGAAACACAGCTTAAACCTCCCCACACCGGTCATCAAGAAATGAACTTCACCAGAGACATCAGAAGACAGGTAGGAGAAATACTTCCAAACCTATACTGCAGTTATTTTTTTTATTTTAATGACAGACAGGAAAGATACAGGTTTTCATTATTATCATTTTTATTTTTTGCCAAAATTATAATATCTGTCATTCCAGAACAGCTATGAAATGTCAACCACAAATGCTATGATCAGTTGGTTCATTGTGTTGTTAATTTGTCACCTACCCTGCGCCCGAGAAACTATCTTAATCAACATCAATTTATCAATAGCTGCAGGGTGCAGTGTGAGACACTTTCAGAATCTGTTTTGAAATGGTCATCCAAAACTGATCGGTGTTTACCGCTTGTGGTGATTTTAATTAATAATTCTTGTTCTACTTCAGAGGTGATCATTTAGAATCCCTCCCTCCTGAAAATAAAACACACACACACATTTTGCGATTGAACGGGTAAAGTCCACAGCTGCCAAACTGAAAATAGCATCAACAGCCGAGGGATCCGCAGTGATAATCTAGAATTCATACCTTGATGTTATTTAGGAATTTTTGATACCCTTATTTTTTACTCTACCCTTATTTTTTACTGCCTTTTAAAATGTCTTTCCAGGATTTTTGTATATTTTAATAATAAATAATCCTTTCACTTTTCTGGACACTCCACTCAAAGCGCCAGTGTGCAGCCCCACCAGAGTGCGCCAGTACACCCCCCACACACACCAGCTCTGTGAGGAGGAGAGCAGAGTGATGAAGCCAGTTCAGAGATGGGGATTATTAGGAGGTCATGATTGGTAAGGGCCAGGGGGAAATTTGGCCAGGACGCCGGGGTTACACCCCTACTCTTTTCAAGAAACACTGGGAATATTTAAAGACCACAGAGAGCCAGGACCTCGGTTTTATGACTCATCTGAAGGATGGCGCCGTTTTACAGTATAGTGTCCCCGTCACTGTACTAGGGTATTAGGACCCACATGGACCCCAGGGTGAGCACCCCTTACAGGTCCCACTAGCACCAGCAACCTTAGCTTTTCCCAGGAGGTCTCCCATCTAGGTACTAACCAGGCTCACACCTGCTGAGATTCAGTTGGCTGCCAGTTGTGAGTTCCAGGGTGGAATAGATGCTGGCTATATTTTAGTCCCTGCAGTTGTTTATGTTCCATACTGAAAATATTGGTGTTTTAGCTTTTGCATGTAGAACACAGCTCTCAGACACTGAATTATCACAGCCGAATAAAAACGTTTAAAATGCTTTCTCCAACAGTACCCACCACTCAACGATCTGTGAGGAGGATTTGTGCTATTGCAAGGAGCAAATATTTCACTAGATGGCATTGTAAAGCTACCTGTGACTTGTGACAAATATGAGACCCATTTTAATTAACATGCTTTTTTCCTTTTATAAAGACTGTGTACATTAACTTTTGTCCATGACACTTTTAAAGCTCACTACCTACCTCTATAATATTGTTAAACTAGGAGATTGATTATGGTGGGAAAACAAGGCCTCCAAAACAAAATATAAATAATAATAAAATTAAACTTTATTTTATATAGTGCCTTTAAAGGTTGCTTCTCAAAGCGCTTTAGAGAAAGACAACAGCAACAACAACAATTAAAAACATACACAAGATAAACACAATGAGAATGTGTAGATGTGTAGAGGGGTAAAGAACAGAAGCAGTTCAGTAAAGGCTCTTCTAAAGAAGAAGGTTTTGAGTCTGGATTTGAAGGAGTTTAGAGAAGGTGACTCTCTGATATCCTTGGGGAGGAATTTCCAGAGCTTGGGGGCATAACAGGAGAAGGCCCTGTCACCCCTAGAGTGTAGACGGGCTTGTTAGGAGTTTGTTCAATGTGGATTTAGATACCCAGCGAGTAGAGCATTACAGTAGAGCACCAGCAGCCATATCACTCTGCAACTCACAGCTGGCAGCCCACTGGAGCTCAGCAGGTGTGAGCCTGGTCAGTACCTGGATGGGAGACCTCCTGGGTAAAACTAAGGATGCTGCTGGAAGAGCTCACCCTGCGGTCTGTGTGGGTCCTCATGCCTCATGTATAGTGATGGGGACACTATACTGTAAAAAAGGCACCATCCTTCGGATGAGATGTAAAACCGAGGTCCTGATTCTGTGCTCATTAAAAATCTCAAGGCATTTCTCGAAAAGAGTAGGGGTGTAACCCCGGCGTCCTGGCCAAATTTCCCCTTGGCCTTTACCAGTCATGGCCTCCTAATAATCCCCATCTATGAACTGGCTTCATTACTCTGCTCTCCTCCCCACTGAGAGCTGGTGTGTGGGGAGTGGACTGGTGCACTATGGCTGCTGTCGGATCATCCAGGTGGGGCTGCACACTGGTGGTGGTGGAGGGGATCCCCATTACCTGTAAAGCACTTTGAGTGGAGTGTCCAGAAAAGCGCTATATACGTGTAAGCAATTATTATTATTATTATTATTATTATTATTACAGTAGTCAATTTGGGAGAAGACAAATGTGTTGATCTGCTTTTCAGCCACAGTTAGCGATAACATAGGACGTAGTCTAGTGATGTTTTTGAGGTGATAGAAAGATTTTTTGACAATATGCTGCACATGTGGGTTGAATGTCAAGCCTGAATAAAAAAAAAACAGGACTGTGCTAGACCTTTAGGGAGTAGTGGGACTGAAGTACAGTAGTTGTAGTGCTTGATTTGTAAGGGCATAGGAACGGTTACACGTGAGACAAGGACATTCAGCCAGCTTGGTTAGAAGTAGTTAATTGATCCCAGGATCTAATTCCAGCTGCTTCCAGAAAGGAGTTTAGGCGCCACATTCAATAATATAACCAAGCAGTTGATTCAAGACCTCACAACTCTTTGGGCAACCAAGTTCCTCCTGTTCTTGGTTTTAAATGCTCTTCCCCGTAGTTGCTTCTTGTGTCCTCTGGTTCACTTTACACTGTTCATTCTGCTGGCTGACTCTCTTAGTGTCTTTGAAGACTTTGAGAACTTGTATCAGGCCCCTTCGTGGTCTTCTCTCTTCAAGATGAAAACTGTACGTTACTTTCAGCCTGTCAGAGCAGGATCACTTCACAAAATGTATCTGGTTGCTCTTCTCACGACTGATTCCAGAATATCTTTTTCATGTGGTGATCCAATTGTATTCTAAATGAAAACGCAATATTCTAAATGAGGTCTTACAAGCACATTGTACAATTTAAAATCCCTTGATTGAAATGTTACACTTTTAACTATATACCCTAGCGTTTTGTTAACCTCTTTAAGTTTCCTTACTTAAGTCTAGAAGATGTAAATGACCGAGCAAACACAGCTTTCTAAGCTCTTTTCATAAGCAGCCTCTTTTAGCTCAGAGTTTCCTATTTTATTAATTAATTTAATTAGTATTTATAGTTGACCTTTTTGCCACCGGCCTGCAAAATCCTGTGCTTGTGTGGAATCTAGATGATTTCTATAAATTAAGAAGAGCAGTATTCCATGTTCACCCCTTATCTGTACTCTCCCTTTTCTGATTAATAACCAATTTCCAATCTAAACACCACATATTACATATCTCCTGTCACAGCCTACCTGATTAGAGAATAAAACTATCAATAGAGAGCAATGTCTTGGTAGAATTTGTGAGTATTATGTACCTGTTATTAGTCCGCTCTTAATTTTCTAATATCATAGGATTTACTGATATAGAATGTTAGTCCAAATCAAATATAGTAAATAATTCAATGACATTATAGAATGTTAACTTGGAAAAGACTGATTGAGACACGTGCTGGTATTTGTGCACCAAAGATATTCAAAACCCACTACAATCTCAGTTTGATGTTGAGAATTTTCTCAAAGCACCTTCTCTGTTTTTCTCTACAGTGCAGAGGTTAGCTGCGTTAAAGACAGGTACAGCATTTCCCCCACATCTCACTCCCAGACACAGAACTACTTACTGTGTCTCCTCCAGCTAAAAACCCGCTTATCAGGGAACCTTCCTAACTGCTTCTTCCCATGTCTTCCTGAAGGAAAAGGTGGGGATTTAATGGAAAGCTGTGAACGCTGTAAGTTTTCACAAGCTTAGGAATGACTCAGAAGAGGATTATGTTGGCTAACAAAGGAAAGACGCTTATGAGAGCTCTCACATGACAACCTGCCCTTGAAACAGAGAAGAATTGGGAGGGCTCGGGTGCAGAAGTGATTACTCACAGCACATTGTACTCTCTGAGCTTCAAACACGAGCAGAATACTTCCAAATTTAACATTTAACATCTCATGTCAGGAGAAGTAGAATATTGCGCTGGAGAGAATGTTGTGGCTCATCATTAAATTGGCACACAGATTCCAACAATATGGATGCAGCCCTGCTACTGAAGGTACCTTTTCCGTCAGTGATGAAACCTGCAGACCTTCTGGTGTGAAGCAGATAAAGTACACAGATCACAAACTCTCCTTCTGAAAAGAGGAGGAAACCCAGAAAGTTCAAATGAACTAGGAATGTGAAAAGGGGGAGGTTTAGGAGGGGCTAGTGCAGTCTACCTCAGAGAAACCGACACTTCAGCTCTGAAACACCGCTGGTGTGACTGGGGCTGTTACACACTCATGCACTCGTGGCTGTGGGAGCTCTGATAAACAGCAATACAGGCAATTGATCAAACTGTAACTTTATGTAAAAAACAATGCTATTGTCAATTTACCATAGAAAACTGGTTGACATTCAGGAATGAGTGGATATTGGATAACAGAGGGAATCTCACAGGTTTCCATTACAATCCTAAAAAACCTGGCCCTCTGAAAACTGCACAATGTCTTTTATGTTGTCAAAATGAATGTGCTAATTTGTATTATTTTAATATAGGGTGATGTCCAGAAGCCTAACGGCTTGATATATCCTTCTAATGAATAAAACACGTTTTAAGTAGTTAGCTGCGTCAGCATGCATAGGCTGCAAAGGAACAAAGAAAAGAAACATAACTTGTCTTCTTCGAAGAAGGCTCCCCAGCCAAAACGTTTTTTTTTCTGCTCTTTTCAGCATGGAATAAACCTTTACTTGTTCCTTTAGCACATTTAGCTAATATAAAAATCGTTCACAATGTGCAACCCAAAACAGTGTTTTGCAAGGCTGTGGCACTGCACTAAAAAGCAAAGGAGGTGAAAATATATTACTCTGCGGAAGTCTAAACAGCACGATGTTTTGTTGACACTTATCACCATGAGACACAATGAGGGAGAATATGCGCTACAGACAGGCGCTGATCTCACCACCATCTATCAGCCAGACATTACCGCCGCTCTGGTGCAGGCAGGCTTTCAGGGGGAATGAGCCAGACTCTTCCAATGAGTGAAAAACCCGTCTGAGGAATGAGTCTCCTCCCTCCCCTTTATTTGAACCTGGTTGCGTCCCCAATGGGCCAGAAGACCAGCCTTGACAAAACTGCTGCTGACGTCAATTGCTGGTTTTTGCTCGGCTTTTAACATGAGCAAGCTGGTCTTGCGCGACTGGTTATATCCTGCAGTGCTTTCTGCAGCACCAAAGGTACCTGTGCCAAGTAAGCAGCGCACTAATGGGCTGAAGATACAACCCCGAACTGTCGTGCATGTAAAAGCAAGAACATGTGATCCCTCTGTCCAGCACTGTGTTCAACGCCAAGCTGCACCCGTCACAGAAAGCACACGTTCAGTTGAGGGCGATCAGAGGAGACTCAGTCCCGTCCCCCTGCTGCCATCCGCTACACTCTCTCCGTTCGCGATGGAAGAGGAGGAGCTGGCCAGGAGACAGGCCTCGGGACAAGTGTGTTGGCGGTGCGCCTTGGTCCCCACAGAGCCATCTGCAGAACAAGACCTCTTCAGCTGAACCTGGGTGACTACAGAGGGATGAGTGCGGCAGAAATGCGCTTAGTTCATTACTCAGCACCAGCAGTGAAAGACGCTAGTCTGTCACTTAGATCGGTCATAACCACTGATTCAGTATACACTGAGTAAGTGGGAACTGGCCTGAAGTGGCTCCAAGTACACACAGACGCTCGATGGCTCATATCTGCTGTATTCTGAGCCGGGTCGATGCTTCACTGGCACAACACAAGCCTACAAAGCTGCCTCCCTCACCGCGGTGTCCCGACCAGCTGCCTTTAACATGGTCGTCATCTGATGTGATGGACAAACTGCAATGGAGTCTGAAGAAACTGTAAAAATGGTATAATTATTTTGCTTTGCGCAGGTGGATCTGGGTGAGTGCAAGAGCATCGGTCAGCTACACCAAAAAAACAACAACCCCTTGCTGGGAACAGAAAACAGCCAGACACACTGCACGACTTGCAGTAAATCAACACACTTTATTTAACAAAAATACAAGTGTGGGAGGCTGATAACGCCATCAGTCAAAGTGCTGTCCGTGGTAGGACAAAGCTAATGGTTTACTATTGTAAACTCAGACGTAGCCCTCCAGCTATTTACTGAACCTGTTGACAGTCCGCTGGGCTTTCCTTAGCCTGTCTCTCCAACAGCCACCCTAAACGTCCAGCGATGTCAGGGTCCCGCGAAACTGGGGTGGACGTCCAGACACTGCGGTCTCAGAAACTACAGCCTCGAAAAGGCTTTCACACACTCTTTGCCCATGTTCAAGTATGTTCACATAACCCATCATCATCACGGTGTAGAAAGTGTGTCCCTTTGTATCAAAGTGAAAAACAGCACTCACATTGGCGCTGGTAGAAAAAAAAAAAGTCAAAAAGGTCAACTAGTGAACAATACTCACCTTCGCTTTTGAAAACAAAACGGTTTTAAATTCGCACCTCATACAAATCTTGTTCGGTCCCTATGCAGAATGGCCTAAAAAACGGTTGGTGTAAAACGCTGGAGTCGGCTCTTTGTGTCAGTAAAAACCTGCCGACCTGAACAAACGTCTTTCTCCTGCCTGGCAGGGGGCAGAGAAGGAGTGCAGAGCTCAGGGCAGCGAAATCAAGTCTTCAGGCACCGGGTTTGATGTCATTGTGTTTGTCTTTAGAAAAGAGTGTTAAGTGTCAGGAAGCGCGGCCGCTTTTCTTTCTTTACATATGTCGGGTGTAAACAACAGTTCTCCAAGAAAAGGACACTGAACTTCTCGGGCTGTGAAAAACGTCAGACCACCGAGTGAATTCGACCTCCAAATAAACAACGTGAGAAAACCAAACACTGATTATAAGGGTTAAAACAGCAGTATCCTGAGTATATAAACGAAAGGCAAAGGAGCTAAAAAAGTGACA